ACAGCAGTTCATCTTCATCATCAGTCTATTAATGTCCCCATTGCACTGCTGGGACACATGACTTCTCTAAGTGTCTTTTCACATGTACACGGCCACGGCACGGTTGCCGTGCCGTGTAAAATAGTAATGTATGAGCAACAATGAGAGCTTTCACATTGCACGGCGACCGTGCCGTGACCGCGTGTCAGCCGTCTTTATCCACTATAAGCACGGTTTTGACGCGGCAACCGTCTTTATAGTCTTGTATGGACTTGTATAGACGCGTTCACATGAACACGGGCGCGATACGGCACGGCGAGCGCAAATATACCATTCGACAGTTAAAATCATAGGGGAACGGACGGACGATTGTTGCAGAATATCTGTCGAAATCGATTTTAATGTGTTGATTTCGCTAGTTGAAGCGCGTCCGACTTTATGGGATAAAACCATCGCGTCTTATAAAAACAGGAACGAGACAAAAGACCGCTCCTATATTTGATACAAAATAGTCACTCAATATGTTTCGTATATTGTTTGGTGTAAGTCCTCCGCGTGACTGGGTGTGTCTTGGGACATCTTCTAGTCCTGTAATAAAATCTGTGTCCTCCACCTGGTAACCATCTCGATCACGAACAAAGTTGTGTAGTACAACGCAAGCTTTGAAGATCGCGACTGCAAAATCAGGTTCGACGTTAATTGGTCTGTGGAATATTCTCCATTTATTAGACAAGATTCCAAAGGTGCATTCTACATATCTGCGACCTCTGCTTAGGCGGTAGTTAAAAATTCTTTTTTTAATTGCAAGATTACATCCACCGTACCGACGAAGTAAATGTTGATGAAGTGCAAATGCTTCGTCGCCAACTAGGAAATATAGCACTTCAACGTCTTGTATTCCGCTAATACATTTTTAGTAGGTAGTTCATGTTCATTTCTTATGATTGATTTCCACAGCGATGATCTCTTATATATTGAAGAGTCGCAATCTTTACCGTAACTTCCTATGTCCACATAGACAAAGCGGTAGTTTGTGTCTACTACGGCCATTAAAACATATATTCTCTGACGTATGTAATAAAGTCGACGCTGACGACGTCGATACAATAGGAGTAAGGCTATCTTTTTTTGTTCCATGATAATAGACGTCGTCGTTCCCCAAAATTCTCGATAATACTGCAACATCCATAGCCGGCGACCGTGTGTAAGCCGTATACATGTGAAAGAGCTAACACGGTTGCACGGCATGGCGGCCGTGCCGTGACCGTGTGCATGTGAAAAGGGCCTTCGGATCTCTGACCTCGCGCGGCCACGCGAACTCAGTGCGGATTGCTGGGTGCCTTCGGAATCTCATCCAATGACCGACCACTGTGTAAGTTGCTTTTACTCCAACGATCGCAGCAAAACGCGCTAACCACTTGCGCCATCGAGCTCCTCCACACAAGATTACATTGTCATTATTCGTTGGCATGGACGGGATGCTTTCCATCGCCTATTGAAAGTGATATTTGACCAATGGCTAAACAGATCTTTGCGTACACAAACACAGTCATAAAAAGAAGAAAAATTAAAACGTGTCTTTTATACATATGGTAAATTGATATAAGTGCAATGCAGAATAATTATTAGCATCTGAACATAAATCTTGTAAGGATTCAGCAAAATAATAGTGATCTTCCTTATGTGATTCTTATCCAATTTCTGAATCAAATATAATTATTTAATATTATTCTATATTTAATTTTTTTGCCCCCATAATTATTTGTAGTATAACTGTACAAATTTTAGGAATAGGATAGTAGTCCGAACTAACTAATTATTACCTCTTTAAATGTTCTTCAAGTTATTTATACATATGTAGTTCACAATTTTTTTACTCTCTTACCTATTACATATTTTTTAACACGACTACAAGATGAAAATTATTAATGACTGACAAATGCTATAAATTAACATAGCTAAATAATTTTTATTTAACAAGGTATTTATGTAGTAACATTAACACACTCAAATTATTGGTTGCGTTATGTTGCGCCTCTGTCAAAATAAAAGAAGCATTTCTTTATGCATTAATTACTTATAAGAAGTATAACGATTTTACAGTCCCGGTCTTTTCTTTAATGAAGATATTTATGACTTAGCTCAAAAGATAAACTTTATCATTGAGAAAAATATTCCATTCTATTCGCTATACTTACGTTGCGCTAATATTTGACTAACATTCACTCCCATCTCGATATCTGAATGAATTTATAACCAAATATTATTCACAAAGTATTATCAGTCAATTAATGTCCTTACTGCTGGGGCATAGGATTAGATGGAACTGGAAGGCCAACCCTACGCCAGCGACTGCAAATCCAATAATCGAAATCGTTATGCAATCGCGCATCACGAAGAAACACGAGCTTGTCTCGAGGCAAGGCGATTACGTTACGAGTCCGTTTAGTGTGCGTTGCTGAAGGGAGTTAATTTTTGTATGAAAAAAAAAATACGGAACAGCTCAAGTTGATACGGTGACGATCCCTTTCCGAGTCAATATGTCTGCTTTGACCATTAACGTGCCTTCTGAAGCAAGGAGGAGCTCGTGCTATTACATTTTTAATCAACCATCCTGTGATCGATCACCGCGAATTTTACTTCTACAATCGCTGATCCAGCACGCTAACAAGTATCTCGCAGTTGAGCTTGAACTTGGTACCAACATGTATTCCTATGAAAAAAATACATAAATAATAAATCATTGTAGCTGCTTAGGAGGAGTTCAGTGACATGACGGTTACACGTAGTAGCGCTTGTATTAGTTTGTCAAATGTTATTAGTAGTTCGTAGAAGAAAGTGACAAATATTCCACGATCATTTCGACGACAAAATTGCCTAAAAATCGAGTTCGGTTGCCAGTCTGAACTTACGAATTCCTAAAGTTAAAAATAAAACCTCTAAAATTCCTCTAGTTTCACTGTTAACGAAAGAAAACGTGGCCGGCCTGGGTGTTGTGGACATATATCACTGGAAAGGCTGGATAGGAATTTAAAAAAAAACCTTAAATTTACCAAAAATCTATATGTATATGTTACCGGCCAAACCCAATATCAGGACAAACTAGTTTTGCCTAGGCTAAATTAGTTCTTCTTATACGCGATAGGATTAACTAGTATAGCCTAGTCCAAACTAATTTGTCCTAAGCCCGACAGGATAAACCAGTTTAGCCTAGGCCAAACTAGTCGATCCTGATATAAATACGGCCTAGTCTAAACATTATAGAATATCTAGGAAGTCAAAATAAATAGATAAACTGAATAAATACTCCGTAATTGGAAAAATAAGAATTTTTATTAAAACGTCGTCGTTAAAAGTTATGGATAATTAGTATCGCAAGTACCTATTACTATTCTTAACTTTTTTGAAGTGAAAACTTAAGGTGCGATGGGCATTTTTTAATATATATTTTTTTCTAACGAAAATTTAATCTAGCATTTAAATGCTTAAAATATTAAAATAAAACTATGTTTTTTTTAGTTTTAAGATTTGAGTTTTCAATTCTATCAGCACTCTCGGAGTGCCACCGCCATATTTGTTATTTATTTTTAGACGGTTGTCTACTTCCTGCACTTCCTTGCACTTTCTTGGCACTTCCTGGTTAGGAAAGTGCCTTTGAATAAACATTTTAATTAACGGGGTTTGTGTAAAAGCGTGATCTAATTGCGACAGTTTTAATTTCAGGAAGATTACATAGTGAATAACTTGTGTACTCCTTTCTGAAATATTGTGATTATTTCTAGGGATGGTATAAATTCGGTAACTGTTAGCTATGGGATTTTTGTGTAAGATTTGCTTTATTATCAGATTACTTCATCATCGACACATGTAATCTAGTACGAGCGACGGCTGTGGCCTTGCGTTAAAACAACGGCTTTCAGTGTTAATTGGTTATGCACATTGTACTATGACGATGGTAACGACGGAGCGTATACGCGTTAGGCGCTTCATGTCAATAGGGTCATTGAATGATACTCCCCCAGTTGTGACGTCACAACCTTTACAACAAACAGGTGAACACCATCAGTCACGCATATATGGAATTTAAAATAGCATCCGAGCAACTCTACAACGGATGTTCTATATGGAATAGTAACCGCTGCGACATTAGTAGTCAACAGCGAATTCAAATTTGCGATATGTTTTTGTTTATGCCATTGTCAACAATGCTTCAGGCTCACTTTTACCAAAGTTCTTAATGCAAAAAAAGGCTAGGCTACGGTTAAATTCAAATAGAGATAAAATAAGTCTAAATATGATTAGCTTTTAAATTTTAATTAAGAACTTAGGTGCAAGTGGGCCAAAATGTATGATTCTTAGAACTTAAGATTAAATTTGACCTTTTCATTGTTTAACAACGCAACATTTTAAGTTAAGAAAAGAATTCGAAAACTATTCGTAATGGTTAAAGTTTTTGTCACTTTAACGCTAAAGTTTTGACTAAGTTTTCGTAAAAAGATATAATATATATAATAATGGCTGTTCCATTTCTTTTTTCATTAGTTTCTTTGACTTTACAAGTGTTTTTTATCATATATAGCGATTTAAATAGTTACTTTATTATATGTTAAATTTTAAATGCAGCTAAATATAAAACACAGAAAAAATATATCGTAATCGTGATGGGCTAAAACGACTTACTTCAATTATCAACAGATCAATGACCATCGAATTAAATTATCGATAGGTTAAAAGTCAGATATAGATGCTTGTCCTATCTTCCAAATGAATACGTTTACTTTTTTTAAATCTCCTTCACTTCTTGAAGTAATCATTGTGTTTGATGAAATTATCAAATTGTCAATTTTTTTCATTATGCTTCGTTACATTTTTATAAATTTCATAGCTATAATTGTAAAATTTGGTTTTACTTAGACAACAGAGAAATTATTTTGATCACGGTTGTTATTTTGTTAATTGTTTGGTATTGTATCTATCTATTGAATTTATAAATACAGCAGTCAATAAAAGGCAATACTTACAAAATATTCTGCTGAGCTTTGATCTGCGAGCGTGGGTGAAAGCAGGCAGCCAGGCGAGGGGGGTGCAGTTGCAGCTGGTGGCGGCGGTGCGAGCGATAACAGTTCGCCTGCAGAAGCTGATGCGCCGCCGGCTGCGGCCAGGTTACGCAGCCGGTCAGCCAGGTCGGTGCGACCCGTCTCTCGTCCACCAGCTTCTTTCTCCTCTCCTCCACAAAGATTGTCTATTATTCTTGGCCGCCGCAGCTTTCGAGACGCAGCGCGCCATCGTCGCAACCGACATGCTGCGTTGTTCAACACTTCTTCGGTACGGCATGGTTGTTGCTCCTCCTCCGATGGTCCAGCGTCCTCCTGATCATCTATAAAAGGCAGCGGCTGTTCTGCAGCAGACGGCGAAGGCCCGTCAGGGTGCACTCCTTGCCCGCTCGCTGGGACCAAAAAGTCACGCAGGGCAAAAGCCAACTTTTGATCTTCGCTTAAGCCTGCTGGTGCATTCTTAGGACTGCTCAGATTGGCCGGCATAAATCCTCTACTCTCTATTTTCTCTTCCTTAGCGTCATTTTTTAAGGCACCGTTCTCATTTGAATTGAGATCCACGTTTATGTCTTGACTATACGAAGGCATTTTACGAATTACTTCCGATCTATTTTTCACTCATAGTAAAATTTAGTGCGTATGACAATTATTATTATGTACAAATTTTATTGACAACTGAAATAAAGGCTTGACTAGAAAACTGAGAATAAATATTTCTCTCTCGAATCAACAAAAACAAAAAGTCACAAACGATCCGCATATTTCAAATTCAGAACAGAAGAAGGCGGCTCAATCCAAACTTTTTTATCTAATCGATTATTTTGGTAGGTAACACTAATATGCCGTTCCGAAAGTTAGCTCACTCAACCAAAGACGAAAGTACACCGTGAAGAGAAAGTACTACACGAAACCATCATCATGAGAATTCACGAGATCCGTACTGCTTTATTGTTAGTAAATTACATGCATAATCGGCTTCGAATCGCCTATACAGGCAGTGTACGCAAACTGAACGGAGCACTACTGGCTAGCGCTGTCATCGTTGGTTGTACATATATGCAATATTCTCGACAGTATTAAAGACTTCTTGTTTGTATTGACGTACACTCGGCATGCGCGATAAGGTCCGACTACACCAGCGCCGTTCGTAGCAAATGCGAGCGTTACTTGAAAATTATTCGTAGCGCCATCTCCAGTAGTTACTGTAAAACTCCATCTACTTGAACCATATCAAGCGGCTGCCAAATATAACCTCGACACTGCTTTATTTGTGGTTATATATGCAACGCTTGCTCACGATACGATTGTATAGTAGTCGTGACTCGTTAGGTGTCACTATACTGAATTTAGGAGTAAATAAAAATATAATCAAATCTTACTAATTAAGTGGAAGTACTACCTGTTCATTTGATGTTTAAAGGTAAAAATTACGGTACCTATGGGTAACTACTAACTACTCTAGAACAAGAAAGATAGCGAAAAGGTTTCTATAAGGGCATGAGCCACTTGCATTCTTCATTCAAATTAAGGCGTAATCCTATTTAATACGTCATTAGTCAAATAGAGAAAGAATGAGGCTTAAACATGACTAACTTTAAAATTTAAATAAAGAGCTTTGGTGCAAGTGGGTCTTAATATGTCAAGTTCTAAAAACTAGCCTGGACTGGCCTCTGCATAGGTGCTCAATTAAAAAACATGTTTGCCCTCTAATGTCAAAACACTTGAAGGAACACCACAGAATATGCCAACATTGCCTCGTAAATAGTTTAGTGAATAAGGTAGTTTCAGAAACAATATTTTGACTAATTTGTAGTTTTTTTTACTAGAAAAATCTATGATAGTTGATCGAACAGAAAAATAATAAAATCCACCGTATAATGGCATATAAATAAGACTAAATTGTGAATATGACTTAACACACTGTTTACGCTAAATAGTAGATTGTTTACCAAGGGAGTACAGAACAATTTTAAAGAACAAGGGATTCATCTGGCAAGTCATAATTCAACCCAAAGTTTTTTTTTATGGCGAGGTAGGCAAATGACTTTACCCGACCTGCCCCCCTAGCATGAGTAACAAAACGCGATATGATAAAGCGATATATCGACATTAACTGTCAAACTACTATGGAGTTTGACAGTTGAGTGTCGATAAATCGCTATATCATATCGCGTTTTGTTAGTCATGCTAGGGGGGCAGATGTTAAGTGGTGATAAAGTCTATACGATATCTATAAATATAACTGGGTTTTATTTAAATATCCATAGTTCCGACATAATGGCAAAATAATGTCAATATATACCTAGGTAATAAGACTTATAAGTTTTATATATTCATTAAATAAATAAGGAAAAATTTATGTATTTTAACGTTCAAGTTTCAGATCGTCACAATTTATCTGACAATTTGGAACATTCAAACTCTTTTTAGAACTGTTTGAATTTACAACCGATTAGTGCTCATTCAAATGTTTGTACTGATTCATCGACGCATTATTATATGAATATTAATAGCGCCATGGTTGTTTAATATTGTACGTATGTTGTAATTTTTCCAACTTATCAAGGACAGGGGTCAAAGTGGTCTGCTATTTATACAAATGAAATTTTAAGTGTCCATTCAACGGGGAAATGCCGCCAGCCTCTTGGGCACCCTACCCTGCGAGCGCAGCGATTTGGGGTCGATTTTTTTATATAATATAGATTTATTTTTAGTTTGATATAAATATTTAGTTTATTTAGTAGTTTTAGTGTCATAATATTCACATTTGATTGATACTTAATTACTTAGATTCATGAAAAAATAAATAGTTACCTACATTAATAAATTATTATTATTACCATACTAATAGTTATTATTATGATTCTTGCTATCGGTCGCACTGGTAAAACCACGTAGGTAAGACACTCTTTGGTTTCTCAAAATTAAAAATATACTTTTGAGCTTCTTTCTGCCCTCTTATTACCAAAAACATCAATTTATCTCACCGGTTATGTATAAGTATTAGTATAAGGTAATATTCCATATAAGCAAATAAAATCTGGGTTACCGACAACGGGGAACCATTAATTCTTGCAAACCATGTGAGAGATTACAATACGAATGTAACCGATTAATAATGATTGCAACAATTTGTCGCAACATGATCATGCGCATTACACCATGAAGGCTACAAATTGTTAGGGGAATACCATCATTTAGCATACTAAGGACATATTTAATACATGCATTCATCATCACCTCTGCTTTAAACGACTAACACCATCAACGAGGCACACAAAATTTCAGTATCCCCAGGCAGCGGTCGTGTCAACATTGAATAATGTGTCTTTGGCTATTGACAGCATGTTTGGGTCTTATTCCTACCAACACTCCTCCGAACAACGTTATCGTTATTCAGGGATTGCCAACGCCAATAATACAACCGACGACAGCCCCAGTGACAAATACTACCACCACCACTACAACAACTACAACGACCACGACAACTTTTCGGCCAATCATCACACAAACACCGCCGGTCACCGCATTCCCTACAGGTGGAGTCGCTTTAGCAGCTGTTGTAGTATGTAACGATTCAGATGTAATTTGTGTTGCTAATCCTGATGACATCGATACAGGCTCGCTCCCTATCGACCCGAGGCTGGGAACTACGCCAGCGACGTCGGCAGCGCTGCGAGTCCCATCTATAACCGGATACAGTGCCCAAGCACCATCCTTCGATACAGCTGTGAAATTCCCAAGAGAGAGACGAAGGAGAAGTTTGGAAGACAAGGAAAATGTTTTAAACGGTGCTTTGTTTAGTTACAAAAGCCTAATTCATAAAATAACAAAGAGACAAAGCTGTTCATGTGTACCCGTTGGTACGTGTGCAAATCAAGGATCGAATAATGGTGGTGGGCTCATAGACTTCAGAATTGTTACACCGGTAAGTAGTGTTTCAATTTTTCACAGTTGTTGATAATAACGAATCTCATATTTTATTCGCATCGTTATAGGGCCAATGCCCCCCTGGCCAAGTATATTGTTGTGGTGGTACGACTTCCTCGATAGCGTGCGGTACATTGCAAGCTACGCCCAATATTGCTGTGCAACCCGGTCCTGGACAAGCTAATTATGGAGAATACCCATGGCAGGTAAACTGCAGTTTTTTTTGCTGTTTTTTTTATTCCTGCTTGTTTGCTTCATTTTCATTGTTTATATTATCTTGACATGCATTCTAAGAAAAAATAGGATACTTTAATTAAAAACTCATTTTCTAGTCTAATAGTAAAAAACGAACCTTATTAATTACGCAGCGTTTTGTTTGTGTTCATCTAATTATTTACCAATGACATCTGAGTGATGTTTAAAAATGCATACCTACCCCGCCATCGCCATATATCAATAGTTGTGAAAACACTGCTTTTTTCTCAATTTGTTTTTATTGGACAAGTCATATCATGAATTAAAATTTTAATGTTATAAATTGCTTTGCGCATTTCAGGCATTGATTTTAACGAAACAGAATGAGTATATTGCAGGAGGAGTGCTAATTGACCAATTAAACGTTCTGACTGTCACCCATAGATTGCTTCCAAATATGTAAGTAGTTTTCTCGAAAACTTTTTATTGATGAATGATTATTGATAATTTATTATATTTACATGCTATTTAATATCTAAAGTAAAGGTCAGGTCAGCAGCGTCGGTGTAAAAAGTTTGCAGTCCTAAATAATCGAATGACGTGACGCACGTTTCACTACCACGGCGCCGAAACTTTAATGAATTTTATGTTTTTGGAACACCCAATGGTTTCAAAATCTTTTATCGGGGATTCCAAGGGATTCATATAAAAGTAGTAGATTTAGACTTGTATGCACCTGTTCATAATTAGGTATTTATACACTTATGTGATACTAATAAATCATCACACGTGGCTTCGCCTCACCTACATTCGTGTTTTAATACACCTCATTACACAACAGTTGCATAAATAACTAGTACGTGAGAAAAGTTTTTTTTTTATATATAGGTTCGAAGAATAACTCCGCCCCACCTCATATTAAGTGACGGCGGAGTTCAGACGCGAAGATAGCTAGATAGGTATAGCAGTATTTCTAATTAGAATAATACTTACAAACTTACCGATTTTTTTAGTGTTTCAGGCACAGCTCCCAATATTAAGGTTCGATTAGGAGAATGGGATGCTGCGGGAACCTACGAGCCTGTTCCATACCAAGAGTACACGATACAGAGAGTGTTCACCCATCCCTCGTACAACCCCAGTACTCTTCAGTACGACATAACCGTATTGCGACTGGCGAATCCAGTGCCTTTTACCCCGGCAGCTGGGTCAGCTGTCACTATTAACAGAGCTTGTCTTCCGCCTAACGCAGCTTCGACTTACGTTGGGCAAAGGTTGGTTAAAGGACTACGTCAAGTTTTATAAGAAACCAATGTTTACTACCTTTGATTTATTGGAATAAAGTTCCTTATAGCACGGTATGGAACAACGGACTTGGCGAAAAAAGTGTAATGCTAAGACACGGACTAAGAACTCACGGAGCGGTTTTCCCGCATTCGCCGAGGGCGGCCGCAGAGCTGCTTTATTTTAAAACTCACAAGACCACAGTTTTCTGCGATCCCGCAGCTGCGAGATCGGGTGAAACCCTGCGCCCGCTGCGTCTGCGCCCACAGCGGGTGCCGCAAATACCCGCCGCTCTGCGGGCGCAAATCGCACTGTGAGTTTTGCTTTTGCGTTTTACCCACAATTTCACAATTCTACGCGAGTTGCGTTGCGCAGCGATCGCCACGATCGCGGGAGGAAATTGCGCCGTGAGTTTTTAGACTAAGATTTTTCCGTCACCTTTTCCGGCACGACCGCCAGCTGTTTCGTAGCGTATTGTACGATTATACGTATACTATGCTTGTGCCACACCTGCGCTACGAAGCTTTGATACTAAATTGCGCTAACCGTTCAGTTTTGAAATAAAACAGCTCTGCAACCGCCTGTGGTTAGCGCGTTCGACTGCGATCGTTGAAGTTAAGCAACTTTTGCAGTGGTCAGTTATTGGATGGGTGACCAAAAATCATCTATCTTGAGTTCCTTCGTGCTTCGGAAGGTACGTTAAGCCGTTGGTCCCGCTGCATCAGTCGTTAGCACCCGCAAATCCGCACTGGGCCCGCGTGGTGGGTCATGGTCCAATCTCCCTATTCTATCCATAGGGAAGGCCTGTGCCCCAGCAGTGGAGACATTAATAGGCTGATGATGATGAGTTCATCTGATTATTCCACACATGCATGGTAAAATGTGCAAAAGTTTGTTTAAGTTCTGTTTCGTTCGAACTTTGAATTAAGTACGCTGGTTCAACGGCACTTACTTTATCGTCTCCCAACACCTCTTTTTATGCGTGTCAAATTATAGCTAAGCTATCGTCTAGTCTAGCTTCTATTTTAGACACGAAGCCCGATAATTCATTATAGTACAGTCAATCTGTCGAAAAAAAAATCGTTTCAGTGAAAAAAAAACCTAAAGCATAAGTCTTGTTTTTTCTGTTGCCAAATGACGTCAGTAAGTCACCTTGGCGATGGGCATGTTCAACTCGTAGGCGTTTTTTGAAAAACTCAAAAAAACCCGCAAAAAAAAATTAAAACGCATTTTTCTTATTTTGTATGCATTTTAGAAACTTTTTTTTCAACCATAATTGTAGAGGGCGTTGAGTACTACAATTTATGTTATTGTTGCAATCTCGCACAACAAAAAATGCGCATTGTAGGTGGCGCTAAAGTCTCAAAAAAGTGTTTTTTAACTTTTTCAGCCTGAAAATATCATTTTAATGGAAAACTTTAAATGGAAAAGTTGTTCCGTACATAATTACCAACAACTTTTGTAAAAACATTTTTTTTAAATTACTTTTGTTTTCAAGTTACAGTGCAATACAGCGCTACGTATACAACACAGTGAGTGCCAACACAGTGGGCCAATTCGGCCGTCTGCTGTATTCACAAAGTACATTAGTAAATTATTACAATCATGAAAAAAAATAAAAAATAGTAAAACGTACATTGAAATGTGCACTGCAAATGTGTACTTGAACGGCCCAAAACCGCTCTATTGGATTTTTCATACCTGCGCAATTTATAACTTGAAAACGGTAAGTAATACAAAAAAATTGTTTATACAAAAGTTGTTGGTAATTATGTACGGAACAACTTTTCCATTTAAAGTTTTCCATTAAAAAGATATTTTCAGGGTTTTTTTTATTTTTTTTTGAGTTTTTCAAAAAACGCCTACGAGTTGAACATGCCCATCGCCAAGGTGGCTTACTGTCGTCATTTGGCAACAGAAAAAACAAGACTTACCCTTCAGGTTTTTTTTTTACCACTCAACCTACAGATTGACTGTACTATTACGACAGAACGAATTCAAGTTTCGAACGCAAATTTTAGCGCATTTAGTACCAGAGCCACTCGAAGCTTCGTCGCGTAGGTGTGGGAGAAAAACATAATAGACGATAAATTTGTATGTGTAGTTCAAGCAGTGGACTCAAGATGGAACTAATTCAAATTTCGTACGCACATTTTAGTACATTTTAGTATCAAAGCTTCGTCACGCAAGTGTGGGAGAAGCATACTTATGTTCTTCTTCGTTACTTCGGGTTGTGTACAACCGAGTGTTCCACGGCACTTACGTTTGCATTTTTATTCAAGTTGACATATTTTCTATATTATCTTTTTATTTCCCTGTTATAAAGAGGCATGTATCAATTTTTCCAAATGCTCTAAGTTCTAAGGTTATCAACCCAAAAAAATAATTTTACTTTGATAATTTGTTTTTCGTTAATTCCTATAGCTCTTTTGTTTTTTAATTATCTGAAATGACTGAGATGGCCAATTTTATGCATTTTTATTTTAAGGTCAAATATGATGGGTATTTACATTTTCACAGCCTTTTATTGATTTTTTTTGTTCAAAAATTTATATGTACCATGGATTGAAAATACAATTTTACTTCGTAATTGTGTACTTAGTACCCAGTGAACAATCGAAAAATAATATTTGTTTACAGGTGTTGGGTATCAGGATGGGGGAAAGATATGTTTGGTAATCAAGGGCAATTTCAACAAATTTTGAAGGAAGTAGATGTGCCAATTGTAGCTTCGGCTACGTGTCAGAGCCAACTGCAGACAGCCAGGCTCGGTCCAAATTTCGTTTTAGACACAACATCCTTTATATGTGCTGGAGGTGAAGCGAACAAAGATTCTTGTACAGTAAGTTTCAATGTTATTATATTTTTATTTTTAATCATTTATCTGCTAGTTTAATATTTTCTTTAGATTTAAACATCTCTAATCTAAAGAAAATGTTTTACTAGAAAAGAATCTACACGATCTAGGTTTTGAGACGGAATTCAAACCCGCATCTTTTACTGATTTTCCGCCAAGATGCAGGTTCGAATCCCGTATCCCGTACCTGAACCGACCAAATTTTTTTTTTAGTATTTGTTTTCTTAAATTAGAATGTTATTAGATATGAATACTGGAAGTTGCCCGCAAACTTTGTCTGCGTGTATTTTATAGATAGAATTTAAGAAATCCTTTCAATTTCGATTAAAATTCCATCGAACAACCAGTAAGTCTCGTTTATAGGTACTTTTTTGAGAAAAACTAACGCAACTATATATTACACACATCAAATAAATCTAAGCAACATGCATCATTTACGCAAACTGCAAGTTATATCAGTGAAAAATTTATATTATCGTCATGAAATGTATAATTTATTCAAAAGTTCTGTTGCTTTAGTAACTAGCTAAAGAATATACCTCAGTATTAAACATCGGTCAAAAGTTCATGTTGCTTAGACTTAGACTTTGCTTAGACATGTTACTTTTCATTGGAGTTATCACGTTTTTTACCAAATTGAGCTCCTGAAATAGTCAGAAGTGCCAAAAATTATACCTATAATTTTAGTAACTTAAAGAATTACAATCAATTACTTGAGAAAAAAATTATCTATAATTTTTCCCAAGTATATTTTGGAGATAGTGTACCCAAATTTCAAAAAGGCTTTTATTGTCTTTGCAGCATATACGTACAAGAAAACTAATACTGAAAATTTCTATTCAAGGGTGATGGTGGATCTGGATTAGTCTGCTCAGTGAACGGTCAATGGGTGGTAGTGGGATTGGTAGCCTGGGGCCTGGGATGTGCAGCAAGCAATGTTCCCGGCGTTTACGTCAACATCGCAGCACTCTTGCCCTGGATTCAGCAACAAGTAGCTACGGTATAAAGTGAAATCCAATGGTAGCGAAACAATATCATGTCTAATAAATATTTCTATCTTGAAAATATATTTTTTTAAATAATCAACCATTTCGGAAGCTTAACGTAATAATTTATTATTTTAACAGTTTATACAAATAGCCATGTAAACATTATAAAACATTACAATTCCTAAACAAAATAAAAGGATGACCTACTTACAAAAAAACAGCGTTCTAAACGCAAACTTCAACGGCATTAACTATAACTTAGTACGGGACGTATTCTAGTATTGCAGCGGGAGTTCCGCGTCACGGACGACAATATTCGCTAGGCAACCCGTTCAGTCTTCGTCGGGTTTCTCTTCTTTCACTACAAGGGGAGGTGAAGGATTCGGAACTTCTGGCGGAGGGGCTGGTGGAGGAGAAGCTACCTCAATATACTCGTCGGTGTTGCGCTCTTCTTTTATGTCTGGCTCTCGTTTAACTTCGGCCAATGGTGGCACGGGAGGTGGAATCTGTGCAGCTTGAGGTACCGCTTCCGGTGGTGCCAACGCAGCCCACGCCGATGCTGCTCCTCTCGCGTAGGCCTCATAGAACGCTCTCTGTGCTATTTCCGCCTCCTCTAGATGTACGAAAGCGTGATTATCCAACTCGGCCCGGAAGAAGAATTTCATACCGCACCGTCCGCAGTCGAACGGTTTCGGCGCTGCTGCGTGTTCGGGGAGGTGACGTTGCAGTCCGGCTGCGCTGGTGAAAACTGCCGAGCAGAGGTAGCAGGTGAACGCGCTTATTCCGGCGAACGTGTGTTCTATGAGGTGCGCTTGAAGTCTCGTAGGAGAACCGAGAGTGCGTCTACAAAGGCGGCAGTCGTGATCTGCTGGTGGAGGGGGGTGAGGGGCGGCGTGCCGAGCGTAGCACGAAGAACAAGCGCGAGCCCCTTCGCCTGTCTCACTTTCTGTCAATGCCCTCAAACATATCGCGCACCGTTGTTCGTCTTCTGCCGGTCGCAAATGGAAACGAGCGTGAAGCCTTGCCTCCGCCTCTGACGCGAGAGTTTGCCGGCAAACAACGCATGGTGCCGGCAGCGTGGGATGATGTCGCGCCATGTGGGTTAGGAATGATTCTTCGGACGGCAGCCTAGCACGGCATCGAGCACATGTGTCGCCAGCAACAACCTGATGACAAACAGCATTTTTAATTTACTACATTACACTGAGTGCATAGTTTTTTACATATACTAGGGATCTAATTTTTTCTTTATTTTCACAAAATCTTAATATTAGAATCATTCATCAGACAATTACCTTGCAATGTGTAAGCTTGTGTTCGGCAAGCACCGCCGCTGAGGGGAGCACTTCATCGCATATCAGACACTTATGCCTCGCAGCGGCAGCGCCCGAGTGAGCGCGCGTATGAGCCTCTAGTTCGGCGCGACTGCGGGTACGTTCGCCGCAGTACGCACATTGCAGTGCTACTGCGCCGTTTTTCCGCCTTCGTTCCTCCACCACGGGCCCGTTCCCGTCCGAGCCGGGCGTGCGCGGTGAACAGTTCCCTTCGACGCCATCAGAGATGTTGTTGTTGTCCATACGCTTTACTCTCGACATGTCACCGTTTATCGCCTGGAAGATAGATGTTTTGCTTTAGTATAATGCTTGCTATTAGGTGTTTAATATAGTATTTGTTTTGTGTTACACGTATAATATCCTTAGATAAAAAAAATATATAACTGATGGTGAAAATCGCATGAAAATCCTGCGATCCTGAAAAATCATCGTAAAAATGTGGCGGGTCTGTGCGTGTCCTTCTAGCAGGTAGTGCACACCGAAGGTTTCGATGCAGGCGGACGTGGGGCAGTGGCAAGCGGGTGTCGGCAGGGTCACACACATACCAGACTACATAAGTAAGACGACTGACCTGGTGCTTTGGCGCGTGGTGGGTCTGCACGTGTCGTTCCAGCAAGCAGTGCACGGCAAAGATGTCGGTGTAATCGGGCGCGGGGCAGCGGTAGGCGCGGGAGGCGCGGTACTGTCGTGGGTCCCGTACCTAGCACACTATAATATAGAAATAAGGTAACTTAACTGGTGCAGTGGTGCATGGGGTTCCTGCACATGCCGTTCCAGTTGGAAGTGCGCGGCGTAGGTATCGGTGCAGCCAGCGGTAGGCGCGGGTGGCGCGAGTGTTGCGGTACTGTCGGTTGGGTCCCGCACCTAGCACATTTTTAATGGAAATAAGGTAAAACTAACCCCGTGCTGTGGCGTGTGTTGTGTCTGCATGTGTTGCTCCAGCAGGTGGTACACGGCGAACGTGTTGGTGAAGGCAGGCGTGGTACAGCCTAGCCGGTCGGGTCCTGCACCTAGCACTATAAATGGAAATAAGGTAACTAACCGGGTGTTGTGGCGCGTGGTGCGTCTGCACGTGTCGCTCCAGCAGGTAGTGCACGGCGAATGTGTCGGTGCAGGCGGGCGCGGGGCAGCGGTAAGCGCGGGCGGCGCGCGGCAGACGGCCGGGTCCAGCGCCGGGCCCGCCCAGTACCGCGCCGCACGTGCACCGTGCCGCACCCGCCGCGTGTCGTGCACGCACGTGCGCTGCGCCCTCCGCTTCCGACCGCAACGGACCCGCGCCGCCCCCGCACCCTCGGCACATCCACACCTTGTTCTCACCGCTATGGGCCACGGCGAAGTGCACCTGCAATAAGCACATACTTAAAAAGAAGTTAAGTTTAAAAAATATTAAGAAGAATTTTTAAAATCAAAATTAGAGCATTTTTGGTATGAAAAAAGTAAGTTTTCACCAAATTTCGTGAATAAATGTTTTTCTTTGCGGGATATATAAAACTAAAAAGTCGGCGATTTGTTTTTGGCCAATACTTTTAGATTATGTGAAAAAAAGTAGTGGATCTTTTAATTAAGGTACAAGTCCGAACGGAAACGCAGACCACAGGCCGCAGCTGCAGACTGCAGGCGACACTACTAGTTTCTATGAATCTCCATAAAATTGATTCCGAGCGCGGCGACGACATGCCGCAGCTGCACAATGCATATAATGCACGGTCAGCCGCAGGCGCTAGCCTCAGTGTCGCCTGCGGTTGTCGCCTGCAGCCCATTGCGGAATTGTACCTTTACCTACAATTTTGGCATTTGAGAGTTGTAATTATTCCGAAAATTGCGATAAACTGTTTTCCCCCTCTTAAAAGGGGGGTTCCCTTTTAAGTAGGGTAGGGTAGTAGGGTTTTGTAGGTAAAGGTACAATTCCGCAATGGGCTGCAGGCGACAACCGCAGGCGAGCTCACTCAAGCCGACCTCAAATCGCCCGTAAATTATTTCTCCTCTTTTAAATGTGATCTTTTCCTTTGAAATAGATTTCAGCCTATTCTGAATTTTTGCGTTCTCAATTATTTTGTCCTAGCCTTATAGTCATTTAATTTGTAGCGAAAACTTTGGCAACTTGCATTATCATTGCTTGTATCTACACGGATTGTTGTGTTTCGTATAACTTTTTCGCAGTTGAATTGCTTAATTTGTATCGTCACTTCTATTTAAGTGAATATATAACAAGTCTCACCTGAATAGCTACTTTGGAGTCGAAGATTTCTTTGCACAGCGAACACCGATACAGATGATGAGCATGTAAATCTAGAAGATGCTTCTGCAAATCGTCTGGTGCGGAAAAGCTCCTGGCACAGCTGTGGCAGGTGTATTCGCACGACACAGCCAAATAGAATGCGGCGAGATGTCGTTCAGACGCCGCCGCATCAGCGAATGTAGCCCCGCAATGCAAGCACGGAGCGGGACTTGATCTCCCCAATTCTCCTCCTTCTTCTAAATGTCCTTTTAAGTGATTCCGGAAAGCTTCAAAGTCAGGGAGTGCCGCGTCGCACTGGTTGCACAAAAGAGTGCTGGGAGATAAGGTTGTATGCGGCGTCCCAGATCCGGACCTAGGTCGCTTCGCTAACGGCGCGTCTTCTGCCGCTCGTCTGCTGAGATCCGTGGGTTTCGGTTGGTCGACCTGCATGGGCGTCTCCCCGTTGAGTAATGCGGAGTGTGCTGCACGTACGTGGAGTTGCAGTTGTTCCATACTCGTAAAAGTGTCGCGAGTGCAGTACATGCAAGCGAGTAGCGTCGGCGGTGGCTGCGATGCAACTCGCCGCGGTGGCGTTAGCGCAGGAGTCTCCACTCCATGTGCACTGGCCATGTGAGCCTGCAACATTAAATTACAACAAATAAATAAAAAAAAACATGCAATTGAGTGGCCTATTTTTATTTAATCCTGTTTTTGGATTTATAGATACATATTAGGGGACGACCTCCGTTCCCGATTAGTATATACGCCGGGTTTCAAAGTGTCGCCACTCAGAGCTACCAGGTTCGGATCCCGGTGGGGGCAAATGTTAGTATGATGAATACGAGCATTTTTACCCTAGTTATGGATGTTTGTATATATTTCTGGATCAAATATACTTAATATGTATCAGTATATGTATTCTATCCGTTACCCTAGTATCCCATAACACAAAGCCTTACAGTGCTTACTTTGGGGCTAGGCTAATTGGTGTGAGTGAGAAATATTTATTTATATTTTAATTGTCCTCATTGCCATTAAAAATACGGGGAAAAGGGTAAAACTCTAGGGTTGTATGTATTTTTAATACCGAAACATGCTGGGAGGACTTTATCAATATGTTGTTACGTCCTATTCTAAGACCTACAGAATATACACACAACATTTCATAAGAGCGGTCAAGCTGTTTCGGAGGTGATTTGTTACAAACACTGTGACATGAGAATTTTATACTTATATTAGAAGACTTGGTAAAAACCAGCGGGGCTATTCTGTAAAATTTTCAGACGTGGATCCGCGAGTGAAAATTTTACAGAATAGCCCCGCTGGTCACAACTGAAACCAGCCAATGTTAAAAGACATTAACTCGTATAGAATTAAAATTTTGTATAATGTTATTTATAACATAATATTTATAGTATGTAGCTATAAAGCTTTCCCTCTCTTATACAAAAAAAGTTTTAAGCATTGTTAAAGAAAGGTAGAGCCGAGAGAGCATAGGTTTTCGTTCAACTCTGAAGACCCGTCTGGGGAAGTTATTTCAACCTTAAAGTACAATAACACTGCTTTTAGTTGTTAGTGCTATGTTTCCGTCAGTGAGTAAGGTTCCAAGGTTCAGCGGGGTAGGGGGTCAATGTTGGCAGCGTGCGAGTGATTCTCTGGCATTGCAAGATTGTGAAGTTGATGGTGTACGCTAACCATTGCGATGTTCATTTGCCACCCTGCTTTATTACTCACAGGACTCAACATTTTTGTTACCAAATTTCAACATACTTGTAATAAGTCAGGGCGCCTAAACGCATCCCCGCAACGTAAACAGCGCAGCACCCGTCGGCGGTCAGGCTCACGTCCCTCCCTGTCCCTTTTGTGTCCCTGCATGTGTGACGTCAGCGCCGCTGCTGTGTTGTACCCTCGGTTGCACACCGTACACTGGAACGGCTTCTGATTATCATGCGTCTTCATATGGATCTTCAAATGGTCGCTGAAACGATAAAACACTTCCTGTCAGAATTAAACCATCCATCGAAAGCCTCAAATAACTCACAAAAAGTAAACGATTTGATGACGTCTTCATTTAGCTCTACCTAATAATCCCTCGAGTCATTCAAAAGAACGCACGGCGCATCACGAAAACATCCGAGCGAGAAGTTTAAGAATTAAATGAGATAAATCGCTTTTGTGTGACCAGAGACGACGATTTGTCATACGAGACGTAAGTACCTACATAAAGCACGGACCAAACAGAACTAACAAAGGGGCTTTTCACGCAAACTACAGAATAGAGGCGCTCGCCCAAACACCTCCGCTAATGGCCGTGCTCGCGGTGTCGGTTTAGGTACGGGCTATTATTTCATTTTTGTGAGACCCTCGACGCCATTTGTCAGCTCATCATCTCTTTTCACTAGTCGGCGGTTCGTTGGGCGGACAAATTGCATGGAATTAGTCACGTGACCGCGCTGAGGTGACGAAAAAGGTGACGCGTCCGCTGGTGCCGCGGGACGCGAGCTTTGTCCGCGCCACGGTGATCAATCTTGCGCACTGCCTATTGTCAAGCACCTCTTCAACGCTAACATTCGTGCTTAAGTCATTTACGCATAGGCTTCGGATTAAGAGCATTAGTATTCCGAAATGCATCCTGACTTGTAATTAGTACGTTCTGTGTAGGTTAAGTGATTTGTAAATTATACTCTAAAAACTAATAAATGCGCAGTGAAAAATTCAAATGCCTAACTAAATATTAGGTAAGGAACGTTAGCAAATGCATTTTTGTTCATGCTTATATGAACATTTTATATTAATTAATTAGTCGTAGTTTACTAAAACTTTCATAAAACATGCAATGAACACTCATTATTCAAGTTCTAACCATGTATATTCGTTTATAAAAAAAATATCTCTTACCTTCTAGAAAAAGCAGCAGGACAATGCGCACAGCGGTATTTCCTATCTCCGGTATGCAGCTTCACATGTCTATCCCGTGAACGCTTGTGCTTGAACAGCCGGGAACAGAACTCGCACCGGAAAGGCATTTGGTCCGAATGCGTCTGTAGAAGAACAACTTTATTATAATGTTTCTGAAGAAATTTCGGCTCAGTTTTTAGGCAGTTAGCAAAATGTCTATGTTCAACGTTGGTTTGTGTTTTGCATAGATTGCAATTATCCCAATTAGTGTCTAGTCTGTAACTAAGACAAAAGTTAACTATTACGTGAATAGTACAAGATATAGATATGGATGTCTGATAAAATACCGCAACACCTGTCAGGGACAGAGAGAGGAGTAATTTATACATAACTTCAATACTAGAAAGACTGATTTAGACGGAATGATATCTAGTAATTTTGCAATATAGTCATTAATGGGATAAGTTAGTCACACTGCGACCTAGACAACCTGAGATAAACCCTTTAAAACTCGCGTAAAAATACACTATTGAGAACAAGATACTAAAAATGATCTAAATGACTGGAAATAGCCCATATATTTCCAGGCTTTGCTCATTAAATTTATGTATCACAATGCAATATTTAATATTCTTGATCAGTGTAACAAGTTTCTTTCGGCTGTTAAAAAAAATCGGTATGAAAAAAATAATTGTTCGGTATGAAAAAAATTGAGGGAATTAACCTCTAGCTTACATTGAGGAAGTAATTTCTACTTTACATAAACGTCCACGGTATAATAATACTACATTGGTGGTGTTCTGTTTCTGTTGGGCTCCTCGTGAGGATTGGGTATAGGCCAACAAAGTGAGAATGACTATGATGGCATAATATAAATACTTTTCTGCCGCATCCACTATATCCTCAACTGGACTCTTTTTAACATTATTATAAGTGGAATAATATTATTGCGCCTCTATTTACTTATTTAGGTACTAGGTAGATTATTATACTTGGATTTTAGAATTAAGAAAACCTCAGAAAGTGAAATTGACACTCAGTAAATTAATCACTAAGCTTTGGATTCCTAGTATTGAAGAGTCAGTCATTGCCAGAGTTATTTGCTTAATGTAGCCCGAGAATTTTGTGTACAGTTTGTAAATACTAGAACTATGATAGTAATATTAGTGGTAAGTTCTATATACGGAATTCAGAGAAACAAATCATATCTTATTTTGTGTTATTAACGAAGCTAAATTATTATCTCACAGGTAGGTAGATACCTAACTGTATTCGAAATGTTATCATCATCGGAATGGGAGACCGTAACATCTTATTTGATCTTAGCTAGCAACGATTAAAATGTGTAAGTCACAATGATAGGGGACTGACTTCGAGCGGGTGGTAGTCACAAAAACCATCGTGAGAACTGGCCGTGGACAATGGGTCGCTACCGGCGCGGGCGCGGCGCGCGGTGCTGCGTGATCAGACATCGCCGGCTTTTAATAACTCAATTGTAATGGTCAAGAGCGACTTCAGCTTATTTATGAGAGGGTTCCACGAAAATTTTCGACTAGAAAACTATGAGACATCGCTGGCTTTTAATAACTCAAAATTAATGGTCAAGCAGGACGTCTGCGTATTCCGAAAGGGGTTCCACGAAGATTTTCGACTAGGAAAAGATAGGTATTGTTTTAAGAGTGATCAGACATTGCCGGCTTTTATTAACCCAAAAGTAATTAATGGTCAAGTGGGACTTTTTCATATTTCTGAGAGGGTTCCACGAAGATTTTCGACTTGGAAACGAAAAGTATTGCTTTAAGAGAGATGAGACATCGCCGGCTTTTAATAACTCAATAGTATCAAGCGGGACTTTTGCGTATTTCTGAGAGGATTTCGCGTACATTTTTACCTAGGAAACGATAGGTATTGTTTTAAAAATGATCAGACATCACCGGTTTTTAATAACTGAATAGTAAATGGTCAAGCGGAACTTCTACATATTTTTGCGCGGGTTCCACGAAGATTTTCGACTAAGAAACGATAGGTATTGTTTTAACAGTGATCAGACATCGTCGGCTTTTAATAACTGAGTAGTAAATGGTCAAGCGGGATTTTTACGTACTTCTGAGAGGATTGCACGAAGATTTTAGAGTAGAAAACGATAGGTATGTTTTTAAGAGTGCCATTAACTCAATGGTTAATGGTCAAGTGCGATTCGTACACATTTTGGAGAATATTCCAAAATTTTTGTTAAGTGAACGATATGTGCGTGTTATAATTTCTCAGATAAAATATTAGGGAACGTATATAAATTACGTTGTATCACAATCTTATTTTGAGTTTTTTTTTGTACTACTTCTAATATTTCTAAATAAAGAGAAACATCTCATATAATTTTTGAGTTTCAGAGAACCAAATTTTGTTTTACCCGTTCCTACATATTCATGATTATAAAATGTATTAAGCAGTTAGCAGAAATTATAAACAGTGAAGCAATATTTTATTTATTAAAGTTAATTGTGATTGAAGTTGTTTATTACAAACATACTTTGATATTAAACAGTAAATCTAAATGAAAGCATGTCCCACCTATTCAAATTGCTAAAACATCCAGTAAACGATTCGTTTAGCTCACAGCTACCCAACCAGCACACAAGCAGATTAGACAGGTCTTGTTCAGCTAAGCTGCCGGTATAACAGCCTTTAAATGGCTCTTGTATTCTTTTTACTGGTATAACAGAGTATTATAACGCTCTTTAAGATATAGTCGGGATAGTATAGTACCCAATAATCGTTTAAGTTTAAGTGTGTGTGATAGTGCTCCTGAACAGGCATTTGATCTAAAACAAAAATTTTAAATTCTGTTTTAACTCTTTTAGACCGAGAAGGTGACCTGTTAAGGTAAATGGTCTTGAGCGGAGTTAAAACCCTTTCTTGTAACCCTTTAAGAAGTGATATGTCATTTATTCAGTCCCTATTACTTTACAGTACCATTAGCAACCTGGCTTCATACCACTAGGGTAGGACCTAGTAGTGTAGCGCACAATACCTCTTCATACTACTAAAAGTGTTATGGAAAATGATTAATTTTCTTACAGTAGACAACTAAATACTAGAGTAGAGCTTTATATGTAGTTATTATACTGATAATATAATTGAAATCTTATTAATATCGCCACCATGGCACTAAAGGTGATTTTATTTAAGTATGATTGGCCGTAAGGACATTGGGCAAAAATGTATGAACGCTGCACCCACGTCCGCCACGACTTAAACTACATTTGTTTGAAAGGTATTATAGTCGAGATTATCTGTGCCAACGCGCATCAAATTCCATCCCGGGGGTCTTTAGTTATTTTAATGTTCAAGTACTATAACGAACGAACATTAATTAACAAGGGAATTAATTTAGTTAGCTCGACCCTACATAGGGTGCTCAGGAATTATGGGAGTACTTCACAAGGTGCAAGGGTGCCCCCTTATGTTATTCTGCCGCGCTAGAGTAAATCCAAAAATCCCCGCATGGGTTGGTCTTTTTTTAAACATTCTGTACGGTATAGTAAATTGTCTTCTATGTAAAACGGAGCGACCACAGATTACACAAACTTGTCCACGTTTGGGAGAAGACATGATTCCAGTTCGTCCATACTAATTGACAAAACCGATAATCGTGTCCCAATATCCAAAGCGTGTTAGATAAAAATCAATCAAGTAGCAGGGAGCGCACAATCACAACGAAGTAAGAAGAGTCGACTATTTGCAACTGTAAGTCCTTCATCATCCGTAAACCGTTTTGAAATGTCTCAGTAAGAGCAAGCGCAGGATGGTCGGCAGGCTTTGTCGTATATCTGGTTATATAGTACGATATGGCATATTATGATAACTAATAATATAAAAATAAAGCTACTATAAAATGAATTTATTCATCTACTGAAATATGCCCATGTGTCATTTCTATTGACTACCAGGATATTTTTTACGGTGTCATATCTTTTAACTCCCAGGATATTTATTCTCGGTGTCATAATAAAAAAGGCTAGTTTTTCAAAGATCTATCGATTCATACCAGTTACATTGTTGGCGGAGCTGGGTGCGTTTTGCCCATTGTCCTTTCTGATTCAACTTCTTGGGCCCTACAAGGGAGCTCACAAAGAACTGGAGTACATCTGTAATTGTAATTATACCCTAATATACCACTTTTGTAAACCCTTATTCATTAATGCATAGAATATACATCTAAAGCCCGCAGAACGTAAATTTTGGAACGTCACGAGCTGGTAATAGAAGACTCCATTAGACATTATTGTAACTTAAAATCACTGTGGATTTTTATGGTTATTTTCATGGCTTTAACTTGTTGTTACTTAGTTGTTAAAAAGCCATGACAAACTACGCCGTCCAATAAGTAGCATAAAAAAACAGCACTTTAATCATAAAAAAAAAAACCACAAGCAATAAATGCTATTTAATTGTTAATGTGCATATTTTGCAGGCGCGTGAAGAATTTCAATAAAACTTATACATTTATTACAGTAATCTGGCACTCGCTTCTTCTTCGCCACATTACTGTAAATATATTATATCGCCACAATTTAACATTTGGACGGTCACTATCTATAGAGCGCTTGTAGAGTTCTAAGCTGTATAATTTGTGCCCAATTTGAAGGTACAAAAGCTGTAACCTTTAGCCGCTTAAACTAATACTGTAGAGCTTCCTTATACAGTTGAAGCCTTCGCCAATTTCCATTAACCGACTGTTATATCGCTGTTAATACAGCCAGTGTGCTAGTTGGGTATGTTATTGAACCCCAAAAATATCAAAAGATATTAAATCGTGACACTAAATAAGATATCAGCGCTATTGGGAATCGCCATAGTTGTCGAAAGATTGATTGGGGAGATACCATAATTGTTCGCCTGATTACTTTCTGCCTTACGCAACAAAAAGCCTAAAACCTTACTATCGCACATCGCGTAATTGTTGCAAGAGTTATTTATCTTTCGTAGCGTAATGGCATTATACCAGTAGGTAACCTATAGTTGAAAGCCAAAGATCAAAAGAATAGAGAAGGCACTTCATTAATATATCGCGGAGTAGCGACAGCAATCATTTATTAAAATTTTACTAGCATTTCTGTAGTAAAATTTAAAAGAAATGGTC